GCTGCGGGGTCTCTCTGGCTATGCCCTGTCCACTCACCGGCTCCCTGCTTTGGCCTGCTCAGCTCAGGAGAACCGGGCCCGACTCCCTTTCGGGCAGTGGTGGGCAGGGAAACTAGTGTCTGCCTGGTAGTAGTCCCAGGCATAGGGCTTCCTGCAGCTACCTTGTGGATTAGTTCAGGTTTTGTTGCTTTGGCCACCGAGGAGAAATGTGCAGTAGGGACTCTGTAGCAGGCTGCTTCCCCGAAGTGGTTTCTGTCTTGAATAGTTGTTGAGTGAAAGGTAACGTATTTCTATTAAATATGTATGTGTGTGTGTGTATATATATGTGTGTGTATTCCCAGAAGTGAAAAGACTTAAATATTCTTTTTTTTTTTTGCAACGGAGTCTCGCTGTGTCGCCCAGGTTGGAGTGCAGTGCCGCGATCTCGGCTCACTGCAACCTCCGCCCCCGGGGTTCTCTGCCTCAGTCTCCCCAGTAGCTGGGATTACAGGCACCCACCATCACGCCTAGCTAATTTTTTTTTTTTGTGTGTGTGTGTGTGTATATATATATATATATATATTTTTTTTATTAGAGACGGGGGTGTCACCATCTTGGCCAGGCCGGTCTTGAACTCCTGACCTCGTGATCCACCCGCCTCGGCCTTCCAAAGTGCTGGAATTACAGGTATGAGCCACTGCGCCCGGCCTAGGATTTTCAATCTAGAAACAGTTGTGGAGCGTCTGGGACTTGTATGTAGATCACTGTTTATTAGAGGGTTTGGTATTTCACTTGTACTTCATTTATTTGGATTGGATTTTACTTACTTTTCTAATCAGCCTGTGAACTAAAGTGAACAAACAGGTTTCAGTGCCCTTTATTTTCAGACATAAGGAAACATAACCAGAGAAATTACAGTCATGCATTGTTTAACAGAGATACGAGAAATGCATCTTAGGTGATTCTATCATTGGCATATCATAGAGTTGTTGTTGTTGTTGTTGTTGTTTTTTGAGACATGGTCTTACTGTGTCGCTCAGGCTGCAGTGCAGTAGTGCCATCAGAGCTTGCTGCAGCCTCTATCTGCTGTGATCCTTCTGTCTCAGCCTCCTGAGTAGCTGGGACTGCAGGCATGCATCACCATGCCAGGCTAATTTTTAAAAATTAAATTATATATTTTTGTATATTTTAATTTTCTTTTTATAGAGAAAGGGTCTTGCTATGTTGCTCAGGCTGTTCTCAAACTCCTGGTCTCAAGCAATCCACCTGCCTCAGTCCCCCAAAGTGCTGGGATTACGGGCATGAGCTACCACGTCTAGACCACACCTGGCTAATTTTTAAATTTTTTTTGTATAGACAGGGTTTCTCCCTCTGGTGCCCAGTCTGGTCTCCAACTCCTGGGCTCAAGCAATCTTCCTGCCTTGGCCTTCTAAAGTGCTGGAATTATAGGCATGAGCCACTGAGCCCTGCCCATAGAGTGTACTTACGCAAACCTGTATAGTATGGCCTACTACACATCTAGGCTGTAGGATACAGCCTGTTGCTCCTAAGCTACAAATTTCTACAGCATGTTACTGTACTGTATACTGTAGGCAATTGTAACACAATGGTTGGTATTTTTGTATCTAAACATAGAAAAGGTACAATAAAAATACAATACTGTAATCTGATGGGACCACTGTCTTATATGCAGTCTGTTGTTGACTAAAGATTATGTGACATGGGACTGTATTTGCTCAATGTATTGCATGGAAAGGGCCAGTGCTTCTCAAACCTGTGTAGTAATCACTTAGGAATTTTTTTTTTTTTTTTTAAGACGGAGTCTCACTCTGTCACCCAGGCTGGAGTGCAGTGGTGCAATCGTGGCTCACTGCAACCTCTGCCCCCTGGGTTCAAGCAATTCTCCTGCCTCAGCCTCCTGAGTAGCTGAGATTTCAGCCGCACACCACCACACCTGGCTAATTTTTGTATTTTTAGTAGAGACGGGGTTTCACCATCTTGGCCAGGCTGGTCTTGAACTCCTGACCTCATAATCCAACCCTCGGCCTCCCAAAGTGCTGGGATTACAGGTGTGAGCCACTGCACCCGGCCAGGAATCTTGTTAAACTGCATATTCTGATTCATTAGGTCTGGAGCAGGTCCTGAGAATTTCTTCAGTTCTGACAAGCTCCCAGGTGTAGATGATTCTGCTGGTGTGATGCACGTGCCAAATAGCAGTAGCCCTAAGTGACACGGTTAATAGCACAATTACCTCCTTTCCATATCTGATTCTTATGCCCAAACAACAATTTCTTAATATTTATGACATTTCAGTTACATATGAAGAGAAAGTCATAGGATAGAAATGACAAATAGCGTTGCCAAGATATAATTTTTATTAAGGATTCATTTTGCTTATTTTATTACTTGACAGTCTGAGAATTCACAATATTAGAAATAATGGGCTTAAAAGTATCAAGCTAGCCAGGTGTGGTAGCTCGTGCCTGTAATCCCAGCACTTGTAATCCCAGGCCAAGGCGGATGGATCACCTGAGGTCAGGTTTGAGACCAGCCTGGCCAACATGGTAAAACCTAATCTCTACTAAAAATACAAAAATTAGCCGGGCATGGTGGCGGGTGCCTGTAGGCTGAGGCAGGAGAATCGCTTGAACCCAGGAGGCAGAGGTTGCAGTGAGCCAAGATGGCACCAGTGCACTCCAGCCTGGGTGACAAGAGCGAAACTCCGTCTCAAAAAAAAAAAAAGTATCTGGCCAGACACGGTGGCTCATGCCTGTAATCCCAGCAATTTGGGAGGCCAAGGCAAGTGGATCACAAGGTCAAGAGTTCAAGAACAGCCTGGCCAAGATGGTGAAACCCCATCTGTACTAAAAATTACAAAAATTAGCTGGGCACAGTGGTAGGCGCCTGTAATCCTAGCTACTTGGGAGGTGGAGGTTGCAGTGAGCCGAGATCATGCCACTGCACTCCAGCCTGGGTAACAGAGTGAGACTGTGTCTCATAAAAATTTTTTTTAGACAGGACCAGAGCTACTCTAGGGCTAATTATTCCCCTGGGGCAAGACCTTCATAAGTACTCTTTTCAATGCCCATACGTTACGAGTTTTTCCAATCTGGATCATAGGAGTAGGCACTATTTCCTCTAATCCGGGCATCCCAGTCTCCAGGCCGCGGACTAGTACCAGTTGGTGGTCTGTTAGGAGCTGGGCAGCACAGCAGGAGGTGAGTGGCAGGCGAGCGACTGTTACTGCCTGAGCTCTGTCTCCGGTCAGATCAGCGGCAGCATTCGCGTCTCATAGGAGCACAAACCCTACTGTGAACTGTGCACGTGAGGGATCTAGATTGCCCACTCCTTACGAGAATCTAACGAACGTCTGATGAACTGAGGTGGAAGGGTTTCATCCCGAAACTCCAAAAAGGTTAGGAATCGCTGTTGTAATCCTTTTACATGGTTCTTTCCCAAGCCTTGTATAGTTTTCTTACATATGTATGCTGGACAGTACTCTGCTGAATGCTAGAGGTGGGGGACCTTTTACAGATCTCGGGTTCCGTCTGAACAGCTCCCTTTCTCTGGTACTCTGTCCTTTCCATCTGGCTACCTTGGTCTCCCTGGACTCAACTCTGTCTCCTCAGCTCAGGGATTCCACCAGGCCCTTCCTCACTTTGCTCTTCTTGCAGTGGAGCCTGGAAACTCTCTGGAGCAGTGATAGGGCTCACCTCATTTGTTGTACTTTTTTTTTTTTTTTTTTTTTTGAGACGGAGTTTGGCACTGTTGCCCAGGCTGGAGTGCAGTGGTGTGATCTTGGCTCACTGCAGGCTCTGCCTTCCGGGTTCACGCCTTTCTCCAGCCTCAGCCTCCCAAGTAGCTGGGACTACAGGCGCCCGCCACCACGCCTGGCTAATTTTTTGTATTTTTAGTAGAGATGGGGTTTCACTGTGTTAGCTAGGATGGTCTCAATCTCCTGACCTCGTGATCTGCCCGCCTCGGCCTCCCAAAGTGCTGGGATTACAGGTGTGAGCCACCGCACCCGGCGAAAACCATTTCTTACATTTTGGGGGTCCATATTTTGGTTGTTTAGATGGGAAAGTAAATCCAGCCTGTTTATCTTCAATTCTGGAAGTGGAAGTCCAAATATCACACCCACCTGGTACACTTTTACCGCCCCAAACCATTGAATGTGGAAACTGTTTTAAGTGAGGTTGTATACTATTGAACTCACATTCAGTTACTTCCAGGCGAAGCTATTATCCTGTCTTGATATCCCTGGCAGGCTTAACCAATGCCTGGCACTTGGCTGACATTCACTAAAAGCTGGAGAGCATGAATAAACTATTTTGAGCAAACAGCTGTTGATCAGCTTATGGTGTTTTCTTCCAACATTTGTTGATGGGCCTTTGCAATTTTCTTTTTGCCTGCCGGTAGCAAAAGGGAGCCAGGCAAAATGGACATTTCTGGGACTTGTTATTCATGATTGTAATTATCCACAAAAATGCACCCTTTAAAAAACTTTGATAGGCATGAGGGAACTTTTGGGGGTGATAGAAATGTTCTAAAACTGAGTTGTGATGGTTGCACAAGGGTACTAAAAATCATTAACTTTACACTTAAAAATGGGTGAATTTTGTGGTATGTAAATTACACCTACAAAAAGCTTTTTTAAAAAGCTTATCTGAAAGATTTTCAGGCATTTTAAGGTGAAAAAAGGACACATTGCCAACCAATTTGTATAGGAGAAACCCTGTACTTTTTCCAAAGTCTCATATGAATTAAAGTACAACCTTGAGGCCAGGCGCCTGTAATCCCCGCACTTTTTTCCCAGCGCTTTTGGATGCTGAGGTGGGCGGATCACTCGAGGCCAGGAGTTCGAGACCAGCCTGGCCAACATGGCAAAACCCCTTCTCTACTAAAAATACAAAAATTAGTTGGGTGTGGTGGCGGGCGCCTGTAATCCCAATTACTCAGAAGGCTGAGGCAGGAGAATTGCTTGAATCCAGGAGGCGAAGGTTGCAGTGAGCCAAGATTACACCACTGCCCTCCAGGCAGGGCAACAGAGCAAGACTCCATCTCAAACAAAACAAAACAAAACAACAACCTTGAGCAGGAGTAGGAGCAGACTATGGTCAACTTATACTTTGTACAATACATATGTATTAGGTGCAATCAGGAAAATACTAAAGATTTTAAAAGAAAGACTAACATTGAGAAAAATCAAAGGGCAATGCCAAGAGAAAAAAGGCTTATTTGATGGAAAGGGAAGATTCCATTTCTTTCTCCGTTGGCTTCTAATGTGGTGGTGGTGGGGTGTGGGAGTTCACACCAAACAATTCTACAGTTCTCTGCAGACCTTAGGAGGGTGTCTGTCAGTCTTTTGCTATGATGGAATACCTGAGACTGGGTAATTTATCAAAAAATGAAGTTAAGGGCTGGGCGCAGTGGCTCATGCCTGTAGTCGCAGTACTTTGGGAGGCTGAGGCAGGTGGATCACCTGACATCAGGAATTTGAGACCAGTCTGGCCAACATGGTGAAACCCTATGTCTACTAAAAATACAAAAAAATTAGCTGGCACCTGTAATACAGGCGGGCACCTGTAATCCCAGCTACTCGGGAAGCTGAGGCAGGAGAATCGCCTGAACCTGGGAGGCGGAGGTTGCAGTGAGCCGAGATCGTGCCACTGCACTCCAGCCTGGGGACAGAGCTAGACTCTGTCTCAAAACAAACAAACAAAAAAACAAAAAACAAACAACAACAACAACAAAATGAAGTTAACTTGGCTGACAATTCTGCTGGCTGGAAGACTGAGAAGTGAAAGCTTCAGGCTGCTTCCACTCATGGCAAAAGGTGAAATGGAGCCAGTGTGTGCAGAGATCACGCAGCAAGAGAGAGAGACGGGAAGTGCCAAGCTATTTTTAACAACCAGCTCTTGGGAAGGAAAATAGTGAGAACTCACTGACCCCTTCCCCGCCACAGGGCATTGGTTATTCATGAGGGATCTACCCCCATGACCCACACACCTGCCATTAGGGGATAAACATTCAACGTGAGATTTGTAGGGAATAAACATCCAAACTTTAGCAGTGTCTTTTACAATTTGTCTCAATTCTGACACTATCTACCTGGAAATAGCGTCAGGTTCCACAGGTTACAGGCTTAGTCTCTTAAGACTGCCCCCACTTCAGACACCGGGTGCCAGTCCCAGGTTGTCACTTGTACTTCTTGCAGACTCACTATAAATTAGAAGTTCCCACCACTCCCTCCTCCCCGGGTTTGATCATCTGCTAGGACAGCTCACAGAACTCAGAACGGTCTACTAACCAGCTTGCCATTTATTATGAAAGAATATAACGTAGGAACAGTGAGTGGAAGACCTGCATAGCACAAGGAACATGAGAAGGGATCTGGAGCTTCCATGCCCTCCTCAGGCACGCCACCCTCCCCGCACCTCCGTATATTCACCAACCTGGAAGCTCGTTGAACCCCTTTCTATCAGGGTTTGATGAAGGTTTAATTACATAAGCATGATTAATGAAATGATTGATCATTGAGCTGGGCACAATGGCTCACACCTATAATCCCAGCACTTTGGGAGGCCAAGATAGAAGAATTGCTTGAATTCAGGAGTTCAAGACCACCTTGAGCAACATAGGGAGACCCTCATCTCTACTAAAAATATAAAAAACTATCTGGGTGTAGTGGTGCACCCAGTCCTAGCTACTGAGGAGGCTAAGGTGGGAGAATCACCCCAGGAGATTGAGGCTGCAGCGAGTGGTGATTGTATCACTGCATTCCAACCTAGGCAACAGAGCAAGATCCTGTCTCGGAAAAAAAAAAAAAAAAGGATCACCTGACATCAGGAATTTGAGACCAGTCTGGCCAACATGGTGAAACCTCTGCTCTACCAAAAATACAAAAAATTAACAGGACATGGTGGCATTCACCTGTAGTCCCAGCTACTTGGGAGGTAGGGCTCCCAATTTGGTGGTGGTGGGGCGTGGGGGTTCACACCAAACAATTCTACAATTCTCTGCAGACCTTAGGAGGGTGTCTGTCAGTCTTTTGCTATAATGGAATACCTGAGACTGGGTAATTTATCAAAAAATGAAGTTAAGGGCTGGGCGCAGTGGCTCATGCCTGTAGTCACAGCACTTTGGGAGGCTGAGGCGGGTGGATCACGAGGCCAGGAGGTCAAGACCAGCCTGGCTAACATGGCAAAGCCCCGTCCCTCCTAAAAATGCAAAAAAAAAAATTAGCCGGGCATGGTGACGGGCGCCTGTAGTCCCAGCTACTTGGGAGGCTGAGGCAGGAGAATGGCGTGAACCTGGGAGGCAGAGCTTGCAGTGAGCAGAGATCGTGCCACTGTACTCCAGCCTGGGCGACAGAGCTAGACTCCATCTCAAATGTAGTCCCAGCTACTTGGGAGGTAGGAGAATGGCTTGAGCCTGAGTGTGAGGCTGTAGCTATGATCAGGCCACTGTACTCCCATCATGGATGACAGAATGAGACCTTGTATCTAAAAAAAATATTTTATAGGATAATTGGAAGGACAAATGAGATAAAACATGTCAAGTATTGAATTCATAAAGAAATTGGGATGCAAACGCAAATCATAATAAAAGAGAACAAGTTGGTTGGGCGCGGTGGCTCATGCCTGTAATCACAGCACATTGAGAGGCCAAGATGGGTGGATCACCTGAGGTCGGGAGTTTGAGACCAGCCTGACCAACATGGAGAAACCCGCCGCCATCTTCTATTTAAATAAAACAACAAAAATTTTAGCTTGGGCCCGTGGTGGTGGGCATGCTGTAAATCCCAGCTTACAAAGGGGAGGCTGGAAAGGCAAACGGGGAAGAAATTCCGCTTTTGAACCCTGGGAGGCCGGAGGTTGCCAGGAGGCTGCCATCATGAATTTTGCGCCATTGGCCAACTCCAGCCTGGGGGCCAACAGAGGAAACTCTGTTCTCAAAAAAAAAAAAAAAAAAAAAGGACAAGCTTTGGGCACGTGGCCTTTGTAGTCGCCAGGTTTTATTCGGGAAGGCTGAGGCCGGAAAGGCTCGCTTGAAGTCCAGGAATTTTTCCAGATTTTGTCCAAAAAAGTGTTTGCCATGATTGTTTGCCTTATGAAGAAAGGCCATTGCAACTCTAGCCCTTCTGGCCTTGGGTGGACCATAAAAGAATCCAGTCTTTGCCTTTAAAAAAAAATAAAAAGAAAGAGGCAGG